AGTAAAAATGGGTTTAGGCTAATGTTTGAGAGATAAATTTGTACTCACTAAAAATGAAATGTAAGTAGGGAAATATTACATGTCTGATGGCATTTTCAAAATAAATATAATGATTGTTATACCCTCGGTTATTAATAAAAATATATATTATTCTTACTTGCTTGAGTCTTCAAATTTGTAGCATGGTAGATTAGGACATGTTAATTATGGATCTTTGCATTAGATTAATTAATATGGAATGTTTACCTAATTTGACATTGATTTAAATCATAAATGTAAAATTTGTGTTTAGGCAAAATTAACTAAAACCCCTTTTAATTCATTTGAACAAAGTATGGAGCCACTTGAATTAATTCATAGTGACATTTATAATTTTAAATCAATTCAAACTAGAGGTAGGAAAAAATATTTTATCACTTTTATAGATGACTATACTAGATATAATTATGTTTATTTAATTCGATCCAAGGATGAAGCTTTGGAAACTTTCATTCAATTTAAGAATGAAGTTCAAAATCAAGTTGGTAAGAAAATTAAAAAACTAAGTGATAGATGTGGTGAATATGAATCACCTTTTGGTGAGTTTTATAAAGAACATGGAATCATTCATCAAACCACCGCTTCTTACTCACCTCAGCAAAATGGAATTGCTGAAAGGAAAAATAGGACTTTAAAAAAAATGATGAATGTCATGTTAATAAGTTCTAGATTATCTCAAAACTTGTGGGGGGAAGCAATACTTTCTGCTAATTATATACTTAATAAAGTACCCCGAAAGAAAATAAATCAAACACCTTATGAAATATGACATGGTAAAGTATCATCCTACAAATACTTAAAAGTGTGGGGGTGTTTGACTAAAGTGACCATTCCTAGTCCTAAAAAGACTAAAATAGGTCCTAAAACTGTTGATTGCATATTCATTAGTAATGCCAAGAATAGTAGTACATATCGTTTTTTCATTCATAAGTTAGAACATTTCGAAATGCATGTAAATACTATTATTGAATCTCGAAATACATCGTTCTTTGAAAATATATTTTCAAATAAAACTGGACAAGAGACTGGTACTAATAAAAGATTTTATAATGCTATTACTAGTCATAAACAAAAACAAGATCAAGAACAAGAGCAAGAGCTAGATCAAAATGAGGAAGAGGAACTTAGGCATAATAAACGTGTTAGAACCTCAAAATCTTTTGGTCTAGATTTTCTAAAATTTGTGTTAGAAAATGAGCCTTTAACTTTTAAATAAGCTATGTCCAGTCCTGAGGCTCTTTTATGAAAAGAGGTTGTAAATAGTGAAGTTGAATCCATCTTGCAAAATCACACTTAAGAATTGGTGGATCTGCCACCAGGTTGTAAACCTCTTAGGTACAAGTGGATTTTCAAGAGAAAAATGAAAACAGATGGATCAATTGACAAATACAAAACAAGTTTTGTGGTTAAAGGAATGTCTTGATTACTTTGGCACATACTCACCAGTTACTAGAATAACATCCATTAGAATGCTAATTGACATTGCATCTTTGAACAATTTAGAAATTCATCAAATTGATTAAAAAAACAGCTTTCTTAAATGGTGAGTTAAATGTAGAAATTTACATAAAACAACCAAAAGGATTTTTCATTCCAAGGAAAGGAAAGAAAGTATGTAAATTGGTTAAATCATTATATAGTTTAAAACAAGCGTCAAAGCAATGGCATGAGAAACTTGACAAGGTAATGATGTCAAATGATTTTAGAATTAATGAATGTAAAAAATGTGTTTATATTAAAAACACAAACAAAGGTTATGTTATAGTATGTCTTTATGTGGATGATATACTCATCATAGGTAGTAATAATAACATGATTAAAACTACCAAAAAAATGTTGAATAAATATTTTGACATGAAATATATGGGGATTGCTGATGTAATACTTGGTATGAAAATTACCAAAACATCATAAGGATATACTTTGTCACAATCACATTACATTGACAAAATATTTAACAAATTCAGCAAAGATGATGATCATCTTGCTAGAACACCTATGGATGTTAATTTGTTTCTTTCTAAGAATGTACATGAAAGTATTTCTCAATTAGAGTATGTCCAAATTATTGTAAGCTTAATGTACTTGATGAACTGCACTCGCTCAAATATAGCCTATACAGTATGTAAATTAAATAGATATACGAGTAATCCAAGAGTAAAATACTGAAAAGCTATTATAAGGGTTCTAAGATACCTTAGATTTATTCGTAATATTGTGCTAAATTATACTAGATATCCAGCAGTACTTGAAAGCTACTGTGATGCAAACTGAATATCGGATACTAGAGACTCAAAATCCACCAATGGATATGTCTTTACTCTTGGTAGGGTAGCTGTATCTTGAAAATCTTCCAAACAGACTTGTATTGCTAGGTTTACCATAGAATCAAAATTTATAGCTTTAGATAAAGCTGGGGAAGAAGTAGAATGACTTCGTCACTTCTTTGAAAATATTCCAATATGACCAAAATCGGTGTCTGCGATATGCATACACTGTGATAGTCAATCAACAATTGGTGAAGCACAAAGTCATATGTATAACGGTAAGTCACGATACATTCATTGTCAACATAACACCGTAAGACAACTACTCTCTAATGAAATTATTTCCATTGAATATGTGAAGTCTAAAGACAACATAGCAGATCCACTAACCAAAGGGTTAACAAGAGAGTTAGTTGAGAATTCATCGAGGGGAATGGAGCCTATTAAATAATAGTTACCACAACGGCAACCCAACCTAGTTGACTGGAGATCCCAAGTTCTAAGTTCAAAGGGGCAACCGAGTTGTGTATAACTTATAAGGATCACTACGGAGTTAAACTCCTACCCATTTCTATGATGAAATAGTGATATTTGAAACGTTTTAGGTTAAGTAATATTTTTAATGATTCTTATTTTTAGGAATACCTAGTGGAGTATGGCAGGATATTCCTCGTAAGAATCACCTATGAGTGTGAACTAGGCCGGTTCTATGAGATTTGTGAAGGGCTATAATTCTCTAGAGCACTCGTAAAAGGCCAGGTTATTTAGGGTCAAAATGAACATTATAGTGAGAACTAAACTGTGTTTGATAAAAATACTGTGTGAGTTCTATTGTCTTGGTTTACACAAATGACTGAACAATTCAAGACATTATATTCATTGGTTAACTAGTAAATCTAATAGTCTCACAAGGGAAGGTTCAAAGCCAAAGACTACATATCCTTTACAAAATATTTCCAATTTCTGTACTCTCTGTAATCAGATCATGTTGTTGCATTTTTTTTTTCATCAAATTCCATTCATGTGAGGGATTGTTGGAAATTATGTTTTTTTATAGGCTTATTTTGGGCCAACTTTGACTCCAAATTTGAGTGGGTCCCACACGTCTTTTGGGATGGGTCCAAAGAAGTGGCGTGTTCCTTGCTACATGGCAAGTCACAAGGTGCAAACGATTTGTCAAAACCATCTATGAGTTAATGAGAAGTTAATGTCATTTTTGAGTTCGTGGAATAGACAATTAAAGAGTAAAATGTGGGTTTCATTGAAATGATTATTCCACATTGAAACTTTAAGAAAGCTTGTATGTATTTATAAGCTCTAGGTGGACAAACTTTGGTTGGGCACCAAGGGGCACCTCAAGTTTGTCAAAAGGGAGGAATTATGGACAAAGTGAGTCTTGGCTCAAACCATCACACATACGCGCACGCGTGCCGGCGGCGTCGGCAGTCCAAGCCGAGCCGAGCCGAGTCCGGGTTATGGGTTGGGTCCTTGCATTAATTTTTTAGACAATTTATTTGAATTTTTTTCAAAAATTCTTACAAGAAAATTATTTTTTCTAAATGAAATTAATTCAAATTTTGCACCAAATTTGAATTCAATTTTATGTCCAAACAGTGCCTCCCCCGATCCAATTTCCAACAAGTTCAAACAGATTTTTCAACCCTGTTTTAATAGATTGCACCGGACAGATTCAGTTTCTTCCAAATAGATTCAAACAAATTTGAATTTCTGCACCTGTTCGGCTCTACAGATTTGAATATGTATCTGTTTACTTCAAATTGTACCTGTTCGGCTCATCCCAACAATCACCTTCTATGCCTATAAATTCATAATCATTCCAGCATATTTTGACATCCAGAAAATTAATTCTCTTCCCCTTTTTGCTCTCTTTTCATTATTCTTCATACCAGGTTTTTAGAGAAAATTCTGAGAGTATATAACACAAGTTCTAGTTCGCCGTACAGATTGTTTGGAGTACTACTACAATCTGTGTAAAGATCATTGTATCTTGGGAGAAGCCATTTATCCATAAGCACCAAAGCGGGGGCGAATATGTCTTAAAGACAGAGTGTTGCACACTCGACTTGATCATTTTTGTAGTAATTCGCTTCGGTAAATAAATTTTGTAAGTAGTTTATTTTTATTTGTTTGATTTGGTTTCAAGTTATTTATTTTATTTTACACAGAAAATTATTCCAACATGATAAACATGGGAGATGACCCATGCATGGGGTCTCCAAACTTGTCATGTAAGTTATAAATATTGGAAATGGATGGATATTGAACTTCAGTCAAAATTTAAAAATGCCATGTTGATGCCTTTTGCACTTAGTTTTTGGCGTCATACTCTTTTCAAATAATATCTATTCAGGTTTGTGACATTTTTAGCATTCGTATAATGTGTTCTACCTATAGCTTCTTATACCTAGCAAGTTCATGAAAGACTACTTTTCTCTCTCTCTAGAAGTTCAATATAATATTTGTGTGAAAGGCTTTGTCCATACTTTTTATAACATCTCTAGGTCTAACCTAAAGAAACAGTTCAAGAAGCATAACTGGTGGCCGATTTAGGTTTCTCTTTTTTCCCTGGCAATACAAGCTTAAAAAATTATAATACAAAGACTTAAGTCCAAATTCTCAAGAGGCATCAACCACACGTGGCTTTTTATGACTATGTTACATATATTAGTCATCATAATAAAGACATTCAAATTTTTTAAACATTGACTATCATGTTCACAGTAAATATGTAGAAGCTAAGGAGCAAAATTTCTTAAGCCAAAAGGTTAAATTTATCATGATGTATGCCAATATCTGAAACATAGAGTAAAGGGAAAAAATTTCAAGAATCGAGAAACATTATAGTACTTATTAAGTAATCCACATTCAAATTAGAAATTCCCAATGCAATGAGTCTAAGAATGATCTGGACAATGATCCGACTGCACCTATCCAGCAAGGGACATCGGACAAAAACTGGCCAGCTCCATAATAACCTCATGAAATTTGAAATGAAGCTTGAGGTTAAGAATAATATCCAATGCCATATTGAAATGAACTCATGATGAAACAATGCATGCCACCGAATGCTAAAAAGCTGACCTGATTCAGGGAGTTCTTTGGAGTTTCATACTCAGCAACTAAAAATACAAAAACCTGCAATTAGAAAATGAGATGCAAATAAAACACTAAACAAGCTTCAACACTATAGAATTTGAATCAATGTTTTCATGGAATTTAAATCAGTGTTTTCTTCTGCTTCCCTTTTGGATCAGAATAGTATTTTATTTTTACCTTGAGTTGCTACACTTTTATGTAAACAAGAGGCAGAACATCTCAAAGCAACAATTTGGCAACCGCAGGTTAACTCTTGCACAAAACAGAGACGAATAAAAAATATGCACAGCAAGATTTTCAAAATTAAAATGGTCAACCAAGAGCAAAGTGATTTTCAAAATAAAAAATTACAACACAAAATATATATATATATATACATATATGTTCACATTCAACATACTAATTTGTGTGCCACATGGAGTCACTTCTTCTCAGAGTGCCTTGTCTTGAATTTGTTCTAGAGGTTCCAAGGGGAACAAAGACAAGACTCGGATCCTACAGAACAAAGAAGATGAATCAAGAGATCTCAACAACTAAGAGCACCACGATCAGTCACAACCCTATCCCATTCCAATCAAGAGATTTTCGAATTCGCTTTCCTCTGAACAACTAAATTGTGCACTTTGGAGTAAACAATATAGAGGTAATGGCATGAATTTTCTTAACAATTTTTTTTTTTTCTTCTAAGAACAGAACACCATAGAAGGAAGAAAAGGGTAAATCTGAAATTCCACATGGATTCCAACAAAACAAAGAATTACATGGTGCATATGTAGGGAACCTTCTAGTGGAGTTTAGGGTTGAGTCTTCATTTTATGAAATTTATAGGTTAGTATGCAGCTAGATAGCTTCCTTTTGTTATTAGGTTTTAGTAAAGTAATCTAAGGCAAATATGTTTTGAAAAAAAAGAATTTGGATAACGGCTCTAGATGAAGCCTATGGATCTCATATGTCAAGAATGTTATTGTATCATTGCATGTGATTTTATTTAGGTCCAAAATGTTTGAATGGTCAAAATTTTATAGTTTTCATGTATTAATCCTAGAAAAATTAGAAAAAGTCCAGCAACCTATAAGTATCTGTGTAATAATTCTAGTCAATAGATGATTTGGATTCAGAGAATTTGTGTTTGAAACTGTGCGATGAATTACAAAGACTCGAGTAATTTCCAAGGAATTCTAGACCGAATATACAAATGGTTCTTCTTTCTGCCACTAAACCAACAGTTTATTTTTCTCAGGGCACTATTTGCAGCCCCTAAACAGCACCTCTTAATTCCGAGGCCTTAGCCTATTGAGTGCCAATTAACCATAATAACTTTGGGCGTCTGATTTTACACTTTAAAGCGACAAATTAGCTATTATCCATTTCCATTTAAAAAGACTAGAAGCTTTCTCCTACGGTCCTAATATAGCCCTAACCCTAAAATCCCCCCTTTGGTTGTTGAGAAAACAGAGGAAAAAAAGAGAACCAAATAGTTTAAAAGACACAAACACACTCAGCCAAATAGTTGTATTAGTTTAATTTAGCTATGAATTCTTTGATTTCTTCGCACCCAAACAGAGTACTGTGTTAATTGTTTTTAGTTCACTTTTTTTTTCCTACAGTTTCTCGGCAACCAAACAGAGGTGAAACTAACCGGATTGTGCGCATTGGAGGACGTAATCGGCGCTGAGAAGTTCAAGATCAGAGTCAGAGACAGAGGAGGTGGCATCAAGATCAGAGTCAGAGACAGAGGAGGTGGCACCAGTAGGGGACCGGAGCTCCTTTATCAAACCTGATGAGAGTATGAAACTCAGGAGCTGACGACGATCGCTGCGATTGCGTTGAAGCAGAGATTGAGAAGCCTCCATGTTCGAGCTTCAACAGAAGAGAAGAGAGAGAGAGAGAGATCGTGCGACGGTGTGATGACGATGCGAAAGAGATCGTGGAAGGAGAAGGGCAAAGGCGTGGGGAAGAAAGAGGCAGAGAGTCAAGAGACACACACCAGCTTTCCAAGTACAGGTAATTTGGCCTAAAACGTGAGTGGGGTTCTGATAACCCTATTCCGTTTTGTATTACTTGGTCCTTATTATGAATATAATTATGTATTTAATATAATTTTATGTGTTATTATATAAAAATATGTGACTTTGAATTTCTATCTGTTCATCGTAGGAATATCTGTTTGATTATCTGCTTTGGAAATTAAATTAAAGGCCCTATCAGCCATAGAAACTGAAATTGATTGCGCCTTTGTGATTAGCGTAATTTTTAGAGCCTGCGGTGAAATTTAATTAAAAACTGATTCGGATAAGATTAAATTAATTTAATTAAGGAATTATTGCCTAATTATTTTATAATAAAATAATGTGTCGAGTGGGAACTTAGAAGTGGCCTTTATACACTCAATTTCTCTCCTTAGCTTCATTTGGCTAATTATAAACTCTAAGAAACGGGAAAGGGGTCGGCTAGAGAGAGAAAGAAGGAGAGTTGGGTGTTTGGCTCAAGTTTGTGAAGATTGGAGGATTAAACTCAAGAATTTGCTATAGATTGAGAAGATTGGGCTTCTAGGTAAGCAATTGATTTTAAATTCATGAGTTAATGTATAATTTGGTGTATTCAAGTTAATGATCAAGAGTAAGAATTGAAATGAAATTAAGTTGATAATGTTGAATTGAAGGTCAATGTATGCATGCATGTGTGTAATTGCTTTGAAATTTGCATATTTGAACACAAATGTATAATTCATGTGAGATTTTAATTAAAGCTCACACTTTTGACCATCTCTTCATCATCTAAGTTGGGAATAAGAGTTGTATTCCCCATGCATGTACAATTCATGAGAAAGTGAGTTTGAAATACATGGAATTGTTGTAATAGAAACAAGTTTGGTAAAAATTGGAGCATGCATGTAAGTAATTCATGGAATTGAGCTTCATAATATTGTAATTTGGTGTTTGTACCATGTTAGTACATGTATATATGAAGTTTGAGCCAAAATTATGAGTTTGGAACCTTTGGAGGTCAAATTGAGCTCAAGGACAAATTCTATAAAACCCAGAATTCTTGATGTCCACTCGAGCGGGGAAACCGCCGCTCGAGCGTGAAAACGAGCTCCTAGCATATTTTGCAGACATGGCGTCCGCTCGAGCGAGGAAGTTCACGCTCGAGCGGGGAGCTATGTAGACAGATCTTCAGCTCGAGCGGCCGGGTTCGCGCTCGAGCGTGAAATTGATATAACCAGTACTTTTGCAGACCTCATGGGTCCGCTCGAGCGGGGAAGTCTACGCTCGAGCGGGGACCCTGTTTTATGAAATTTTGAAAAGGGCTTCTGTGTTTCGTTTTCTGTTTCCTTCACTTCTAAGTACTCTTAGGCATACATTGAGCATTGTAATTGAGTTAAAGAGATAAGAATGAAACCTAAAGAGGAATACGTGAATTACAGAATGGATTGAATTGTTTGTGACTCATATGTGCTATATGATGTGTAGGGTCAAGCTCCAGAGCAAATCCACAAGCCGATCACTGTTAGGAATATCTTAACAAGATATTTGAAATATGTTGTTGTCCAATTGTTTACTTCTATGTAAGTTTTGTAAGTTCATTAATTTCAATGGCGGACAACGATTGACATGAATGATTGGGTCGAAGGCCGACTGACATGAATGATTGGGCCGAAGGCCGACTAACATGAATGATTGGGCTAAAGGCTGATTGACATAAATGATTGGGCCGAAGGCCGATTGACATAGATGATTGGGCCGAAGGCCAATTGACATGAATGATTAGGCCGAAGGCTAATTGACATAAATGATTGGGCCGAAGGCCGACTAACATGAATGATTGGGCCGAAGGCCGATTGACATAAATGATTGGGCCAAAGGTCGATTGATACAAGTGATTGGGCCAAAGGCCGTCTGCTGTAACTGTTTCAAAGATTGCTTATGTATCTTCTTTATTCGATATTATTCACTGGGTTTTCGCTCACGCCCATTCATGTACATGTAGGTGAGCTAAGGGACGTCCAGAACCAGCCTCAGTGAAATTGTGAGAAACAGTCAAAGTTTTGAGGAGTCAGCCCTAACATCTCACGCACGAGACTGTCTTCGCCTTTGTCCTTTGTTCATAGTTTTGTTATGTTGACGAAAGCATCGGACTACTTTTGTATATAAGTCTTGGGTTTGACTGATTTAAACTTGTATGATCCTGTATGTACAGTGTTCTGTGTTAGTACATATTTTGATGTGAGTTATTAACATATAAATGTTTGGAATGTTATGGTATGCATATAAGCATAGCTCTATGGACAAAGTTTTAAATTTATTTCCATTTGGCCCCTTTACTGTGATGAGTTTTGTTTATTTGGTTTGAGGCCGTAGGTAATCTCGTGATTACTGGCCGGTTATGGCCTTAACCCATTGAGGCGGGTTTGGGTCGTG